ACAGACCTCCTAACCAATCACAGACATTTAAAACACGTAACAGAGCCCTGGTTTGATAGTATAACATGCTCAAGAAAGCATACAAGTACCTCAAAATATACTTTCATATAGTACTTGAGCTAATGCGCTTTATTAATTTCCACTGTTGGAGGTCAGACACAAAAGAGAGGTCTAGATTTATAAGGAGCAGCAGTTCAGTATCGTGTGTTGTTGTTGTTTGTTTTCTGCATGACACTGAAACAATATTGCACCGCTGGATGACGACCCTTTGTGAAAACATCTAAAACTTGAATAAATTATGACCCAGAAACCTTTTTAAACATTCTAAAAGAGTGCTGTGATCAAAAGCACAGTCTGGGAAAGTAATGTAAAAAATAATTTTATTGCAAAATGATGCTCAAAAACAAGCATTTACATCCCCACAATCATAAACATGTAAAAACTATATTATTACATAACATGTCTGATGAAAAACAACAAAATTACAATTCAGTGACTTTTAAATACATCACCATTTTACTCCTCCATTGTCCACGTGCGTCTTTCTTGATCTTTTTCAGTGCATTTTGTCAGTTTTCGGAGTGTTAACGCACAGCACCGCTCCACACCTGTCTGATTTGTCTCCACGGAGTTCCAAGAATTGAGGCAGTGATGAAGAAGAAAACCAAAATCAGCCCTTTGCCAGTGACTGAGAATATGGCTCACCTGTGAAGCATAAACGTGAAATAAGTAATTAATGGCACTGACAGCATCTATTGTTAGACTTAACTAGTGTTGCAGCTTTGGGTTATAGGAGTGGATTTTTTTAGGGTGCATTATGTCATGCAGAATGCCAATCATCTAAAATCAAATTAAATCTACAATCAATCACAATGCATACTGATGTCATTCTGAGGAGTCTACCTTGCTCTTGTTTAGCCTGTTAGCTCTTATGATTTATATCACTGATACACTGTTAAACTCAAAATATGAATTTTGAAGCGGTTTTTTTTCTTTAGTATAAACACGGGTTCTAATTTTCTAAAAGATCTCTGCAAAATGACAGAAGTAAAACACTGGAACAATTTCCAAGGACAAGATAAATTCCCACCTGTGTAATACCTAGTGATGGGAAATGCGAGCTCAGGCCAACACACGTCATTCCTGTCACAGTCATATTCGGTGAAGTTGATCTGAAACCTGCAAAAAACAGTCAAACCATCACACTCGATGTTGGAATCACTCAGGCAGCTCAAACATTAAGTGAAGTATCTGGCTTCACAACTCTCTTTATAAGAGGAGTGTCACTGTCTGATGCAGCACCTGGTTGTCGGTGGTCCTGTGTTGATAGGAATGTCGGTAAAAGTGACAGAGGAGGTGATGGGAAACAACTGAATCTCCTCTGGATCAACACATGAAGACACAACACCTCCTCCACAGTCCAGGGCCCAGGTAGACAAACCATAGCTAAAAATGACAAAAGAGAATTAGGACAAATACTAGAAGTGTAGTGACATGCAATTAGCAACAGCTCTCTGACTTGAGAATTAATGTACACTGTGCATTGCAAAACACATCAGATACACACCTGACTTCCACAGCACGGATTTCTCGCTGAGGTATTCCCTCTACCGTGCTGGTGACAAGACTCCAAACATGGACGTGCTGATAGGATGGGATTCCATGGCATGTACTCGTGTTGTCTTCTACAGGTGCACTTGAGTTCAGTGTCACAACTGGAATTTATACGTGGCGTACAATGTTTAGTTAGAACCACAAGGGACATATCTACGGCACAACACTATAACATTTACCTCTCAAGTTGAAACAAAAGTATAGCAAAAAATTAACTTCATGCTATTAACAAATGCATCATCTATCCAAAAACAAAATAGTTTCTTTGCACCATCTACTTACAGCTTATGTTCAGCCAGTCTGTCAGAGTAGAAAAGTCCGGGTTTCCACTCTTTGCCACAAATGTGGCTGCAGTCAAAGCATCCTGTAGAGCAGCAACTGTCTCTCTGAAGGACAAAAAAATATTTAATAGCACAAATATAAACAATAAAAACATACAGAAGTATTTACACATGGTATACAGCTGAAGTGAGCACAACCTGATGCAATATCACTTCAACGTCTCATGATTTAGAATTGAATGGCCTCTAAGTAACTGCATTATTTATGAGTTGACACGTAGACTATTTCCTCTTACGAACAATCAAAAACAAATACTTCAGGAAACCGTATCAAAAAAAAAACATAGGCCTCAAAATAGGAACACAATGCAAAAAAGTGAATTCTGTGATCACTGGCAGAAAACCTGTGATATGTGAAACAAAACTCAGACGTGTGATTTCCAATTAGCCCAGCTGAATCAACAATTATCTATATTCATTGTCTTTCTGCATGTCTGTATCATGGCTCAACATGAAAAAGAAACTGCAAGGAAAAGGCTCTAGGAAAATCTGTGACCAACTAAAAATCAGTTGAAACAGTTGCAGAAGTGATCAGGAAGTATATTTGCCAAAAGTATGACATGGCCAAATACATCACCACATTTGAATCCAGTAGACCACCTTTGCGGTATTCTAAAGAGAAAGGTAGCAAAGAGCAGCTGAGGGGGATGAGAACATTCCTCCACAAATGCTGCAACACTGACATCCTCCAAGTTGAGGACGACTGAGTCTGTCAGTAGATACTAAAAATGGACGTGCTTCACATGTTGATCGACAGTGTTAGCTTTTAATGTCATATAGAAGCAAATATCCTACCCTTAAACGTCGTAATACAGGTGATGCACTTACTGGAAGATTGAACGATTTTAAATGACATTGAAGTGATATTGCACAGCAGAGTCCTCACTACGGTATATAAAACATGAACTCATAAGCTGAGCCACTGACCTGAGGACGTTACATTCAGTCAGATTCTGGCGGCTGACAGGGAGCAAACATCCTGACGTTGAATTCTCCCCAAAAAGAATTGGTTTCTTCTCAGCAGTAGAACAGAGTCCATCGCTCACTGGTAGCCAGATCAAACAACAGTGAAGACAAGTTGTCTTTTAGTCAGTTTGTGTGGGTTGAAATGCTGATGTCAGAATGAAGCTACATGCAGAAAGCTGGTTGCCAACAACACGACTTCACTGGTTTTACCTGGTCTCCAAAGATTGATTGATGATCTCTGTATTAAACCTGTACTATTGTCAGAAATGTCCTCAATTCCAGCAATAACAGGCCTTCCCACCTGATAACCTGTCATTTAAAAGGCATGTGTGTTATTTCCTGTAACAGATTCTGTGAATACAACTCAGTTCACTTCCACAGCTGCCAAGTATGTTGTGTAGCTCTCACCTGGGTTCCCTGAGTTAGGCTCACCCATGAATTCTCCATTTAGGAACACGGCAGAATACCTTGTTGTTAACATCACTGTTTAGAGGACAGAAAAGCAAAAATGAGACAAAACTGCATGAAACACATCCACTAACTTTGACTTGAGATAAGCAAAATTATGTGCATACATAATAGGCACTTACCGCTATCATTAAAAGCAAATGTTCCAACAGTGCGTGTCAGTGTGACGCCTGTGATGCCGTTTCCTTTCCAGTAGAACCTGTAATCCAGGACTAAGGTCACATTTTCACATAGCAGCCTCTCATCTTCAGCTGTGTCTTTTTTGGAAATGAACGGACTCAAGTCAGCGGCCACTTCATCCTCCACATCCACCATGACATCACCTGAAATACATAAAGGTAAGGAAATAAAGATTCCAGGTTTCAGAAAGCTTCAGAACATACTAAAGCGTTGTTTAAAATGTTTCGAGGGTAAAACCTACCCCCTAGCCCATTCTTCACTCTAACGCTCAAATCTGTCGGTAGTGTCAGTAAAGGAGATTCAGTCGGACAGGAGCGTAGCAGAGATGCACACTCGACTTCGAAATTTTTCAAAAAAGCTACAGGAGCACCGTTTACACATCGCCCAAAGACTTTCTGTGGAGGAAAAATATACATTAGTAACTTGTTTTCACTGCTTTGACAACACAATACAAAATATAATCTAAAAGAAAAAATTGAACTCAAAACAACATAAAAAAAAAAAAAATAAAAAAAAAAAAAAAGCTTGAATTAAAAACAGCATAGACACGACTAACCTGGGGGACAGTGAAGTACTGGTCACTTGGAGTGAAAATTGGACTTCCTTGAATATAACCATTAACTGGCACTGGGGCCGACAAAACAGGCCTCTGGAAGGACGGGCCAGGATTTGATGCACTAGAGAGGTGGAAGACCAAAAGATTAATCATGAAAACATGACACAAAAGTTACAAAACAAAAATCATGTGCCAAGAAAATAACAAATCTTTTCTCACATTGTGTATCCTTGGTAAAAGAGGCCGAGGTAAGGGTTGTTTTCAGGGGGAGAGTTGACACATAAGAACGGAAACCAATCCGGGGAGTTTTCAGACGACTGAACAGAACACTGATAATCTGGAGCAGGAGACACGTGTCCACCAAAGGGCCCCGGCAGACAGTCTGACAAGAACAGCTTCAAATCTTCACTGGAACAGTCCTGTAAAGACGAAACACAAATAAATCACTGCTGAAGAAAAAACATTTGTGTGAGATGCACTCTTCTCTTGTTGACATAATCTAATAACAAGAGATGTGAATACCTGGTCACAGCAGCAGCGTACGTCACACACTCTGAACATCAAGTCACAGGGGCAGGAGCCCAGCGGCTGGTACACTTGGTTTGGAATGGCTGTTTTATTTTCTGCAATGATTGATATATTTAGAAATCTGGCACTCTCTGAAGGCTTACATTCTGAGCATGAAGGTGTGTTATGAATTACCAGATCCACCGTTAGCAACAACCAACAGGGCGTGTATCCTGGCCTGGATCAGCAGTGAAGTCTGGGCCGTAGCGTCCTTACAGGCAGACACCTGAAGGGTTTCCAGGACACACAGGGGCTTTGGGCAGCAGTCAGCGTTTGTATCGTTCTCACCACATAAACGCAGACTGTGATTCAGTCTCAGCTGAACGTGAACTGCAGTCTGGGGCACAAAGAAAACCAGCATCAGCTCTAGGTATTCAATTGTAGGAGGTATGTTACCTTAACTTTCATTACTTTCTTACTTCAGCATTATTTTAACATTATCTGCACATATGATGAAACTACCGGTCTCTTACCTTCCCCAGCTGCTCCCTTGTGAGCAGCCACCGTGTTGCCTCACCTACACATGATGGAGAACCAATACCTCCTGTGAAAGAAAAGAAACCATCAACAACCACCAAATCTGCAGAAAAATCTTATGTTCTTCTTATATTCATTAAATGTATTTTTTTAGGTTGAAAGAACACTAAATTGGCTAATATTGGTTCATTTTGGGGCTGCAAGGTGGAGCGGTGATTAGCACCGTTGCCTCGAAGCAAGAAGGTCGCCGGTTCGCGTCCCGGTGAGGACACCTGGGATCTTTCTGTGTGGAGTTTGCATGTTCTCCCCGTGCAGCGTGGGTTCTCTCTGGGTTCTCCGGCTTCTTCCCACACAGTCCAAAAACATGTTGAGGTTAATTGGTGATTCTAAATTGTCCGGAGGTGTGAATGTGAGTGTGCTTGGTTGTCTGTCTCTAAGTGTAGCCCTGTGATAGACTGGCGACCTGTCCAGGGTGTCCCCTGCCTTCGCCCTAAGTCAGCTGGGATAGACTCCAGCCCCCCTAGTGAGGATTAAGTGGTGTATAGATAATGGATGGATGGATGTTTTTATTATTTTCTTTAAAGTCAGAAGTTTACATACACTTCCTTAGTATTTTGGTAGCATTGCCTTTAAACTGTCTGACTTGGGTCAAACGTAAACTTCTGGTTTCATTTGCATATATGTATATATATTAAAGATTTTTAAAGATTCGGTTATTTCATTGTAATGAAAGGGGAGGGAGATAGGTCTTTCTTTCTTCGTACAACAAACTACACAATCACAAAGTCATCTTACTTTTTCTGGACTCTAATCTGGACAATGGTAATATTCAGATCTAATCCAGTCATTTCCCCAAAAAGCTACCATCCGCTCATATTCTGGTAGCTACTAGAGCTTCTGCATAGTCTAGGGAGGTGCTTTGGTCTTTTACCTGTCGTGTTGGACGGAGAAACGGTCCTCAGAGCCAGAGAGACGTCCGAGCTGTTTCCCAGCAGAAACGCGCTGACTGCGGGTCCAGTTGTCGTGAGAAAGGACGGCTGGAAAACTGTTGAACATCACAGTAACGTGACTGAATATCATGTTAACAACAGAAAATTAGCTAAAAACGAAGAAAAACCTAAAGGAGAGTTTAGTACAGTTTTAGTAACATACTGAATGTGTTCTGGCTGCTAGTTTCTCAGCTAGTCAGAGAAGTAACGGTAGCTGTATGAATGTAAATGTACTTAAAGCTCTTACCGACAATGTTTTGAGTATGAACCAAGGAAATAAATAGTAAAACATATACAAGCCGGCGATAAATGGACAATAAATTCTGAACCTCCTTCGCCATTTGGGTCCGCTCAGGTTATAAAGTAGACATATTTGTAAACTGTTGGTGATGTCTTAGCAACGGAGGTCCGAACGAATCAGAGCCGACAGGAGTCTTCTTCTGGGCCCACTGACTTATACTGTAGTGACCAACAGCGACCCCGCTGGTCTGGAGCGGTAACTACATCTGTATGGAGACATCCGGTTTAATCATTTGTTTTAACGACGAGGAAAAAGCAATTTGACTGTAAAAAACAAACAAACAAAAAACTGTAAAAACAAAAGCATTAAGAAAAAGTCAGATAACTGTCATGAAAATCCCTTTAAAATACAAAGAATATTAAAACAAAAGGAAATAGTTTTGAGGATGTCTTTAATTTTTCAGTGGAACTTTTTTCAGGGCAACAAAAAAACAATTACTTAAAGTAAAAAGTAAGTAAACTAAACAAGACTAGAATATGGAAAAAAAGAAGAAACACTGGCAATGATCCTGAAGATTGCACTGCACGTGAGATTGAAATATTAACAATGAAAAAACTTGCACAATAAAATATGTTGAGAATGAAATATTGCACACAATAATAAGATACTGCACATCAAATTGAAATGTTGCACCTCAAAAAAAACTATTGGGCATGAAACTGAAATACTATACGTTTTAATTAAATTTTGCACATGGAATTTAAATATTGCACAAAATTAAATGTTTCACATGGAATTAAAATACTACATGTCATAATTAAATCTTTCACACTATAATGAGGTACTGTGAATCAGATTTGAATATTGCATATAATGATGTAATATTGCACATGAAATTAAAATATTACACATAAACTTGAATTGCAGCTATTAAAAGCAAAAACATTACAGCATGATATTGATATAATTTTTTGAATTTAAGTGTCCGATATGTTATTATTATTATTATTATTATTATTATTATTAGTAGTAGTAGTAGTAGTAGTAGTAGTAGTAGTGGTGGTAGTAGTAGTAGTAGTAGTAGTAGTCGTAGTAATTGTAGTAGTATTTGTGAATGCAGTGCTCTATCATAGTATTTTTGGTTATTTGCCTGTCTTTGAACACCACTTGCAGCCTTCAGCCTCCAGAGGTCGCTGTCAGACTAAGCTCGCTGCTGCTGTGAAGATAGTAGAAGAAGAGTTACGTCACGTGACCACAAACCAACGTGCTACCCTGATGTGTCTGACAACAACAAGCATCTGAGCTGTGGACTTACTGGAACAATGTTCTCGTTTGAAAACCTGCTGAGCAGCCTGCAGGACTGTGTGGTCACCGAGGAACAGGCAGCTGAACATGTCAACAAAACTCTCCGACTGTTTTCTGATAAACTGTCTGAATCCTCCAGGTTGGTGCTGGGCTCTGTCAGACTCTCCCTGTTTGTGTACTATGTGTGGTGAATAATTGTGCTCGTGTGAACAGGAGCAGCGTGAAGAGGAGCAAGGAGCGCTGCTTGGAGGAGGCTGTCCAGCTGCTGCGGCAGATCTCAGAGGATCAGCTTCGTGCTTTTGAGGACCAACACTTCCTGCTTCTGGTCAGACTCCTCTTATCCATGCAGCTGCAGATGGTCAGCATCTCCTCAGCCTGTCGTAAAGTGGACCAGGTCAGACTCTGCAGTGTGTATGTTCACTGGGAAATGCTTCACAGAAATTGGAATCTAATCACAACTTCATATTTTGCCTGACAGATGTTGCAACATGTGGCGAAGGTGGACCATCAGCTGGTTTTTAGGGAAACCCTTCAGTGTTTGCACTCCATAGTCCACAGTGAGCAGGTACGGAGCTCTCACTTCACTTGTGTTTGTCATTTACACCACACACAAGTATAAGTGCAGCATGCGAATGGTCTTAGAAAAACTAACAGAGCGAAACTGACTTAGAGAAAAGTTTAAATCTCATTTAAACTGTTTTGATTAGAAAAAGGTTTGGTTCAGCCAATTGTGCACAAAAGGTTTTTAAGCTGTTGGTGACAAAATGTTGATTGTTTATTTCATCCATACAGACACATTAGACTGATGTGGATTTAAAGATCAGTTATCAGATAATGTGACCAGCACAAAGACAGTGCTGATGAAAAAAGGCAACCTTAAAATGTACTTTATTCAAATGGTGTGATGCCACAGAGGACAAGAGAAAGACGACAATGGGCTGTTTGCTGTTGGATGCTGCTTGTAATTTAGGGCTGTAGCCAGGCACCTGAATCAAATCAAATCAAACTTTATTGATATAGCACTTTCATCCATAGAACAATGCAAAGTGCTTCACAGCATTAAAAACATTGTCAAAGAAAGAAAAACAAACAAACAAACAAAAGAAAGACAAGAAAACCCGTCCCTCCCACCCTCCATGTATAGACACACACACACACACACACACACACCACTGACCGTAGGGAGACATGACATGGCACTCAGGCTCGTGACACACACTACCATTGGGGTCGTCCACACTGGGAGGAGTCGCAGACCATGACCACTGAGGGCGCCAGCACCCGGACCGCCCCAACCCCGACAGACAAGGGGACCCCTAACCGGCCAGGCTGGTGGGACCCGCAGACGGCACCCCCATCAGCAAACTGGACTCAGCCCCCAGTGTGGAGGACCCACCTAATGAAACACTGGAGTTAAAAACTAAAAACTTTAAAAGTATACAAGGCCCTAAAAATGAAAATTAAAAGAGTAAAACTGTCCACAATTCCTCCATTTTTGTGTAAGAAATTCTTCCAGGCAGCTCTGGCTGCATGTGTCTGACTTGATCCTTTCCCTAAAGTGTCTGTCAGCTGCTCTAAGCCAATCAGAAACAGTGGAACAACATTATCCAAGCAGCATCAACAACATTATGAACTCTGTGTTGCAGATGTGTGACTTGTGGTTTCTGCTCTCTGACTCCACTCTCTATCTGCCTGTTATCATTTACAAAATAGTTCAGATTTGTTTGTTTTATTACATCCGTTCTGTTGTAGAGGTGCCGTGTGCAGGAACAACAAATACTTGATCTCCCAAGTTACAAAGAATTTAATAAAATGTTAAATGCTGCATTTATATTGAAGTATTCAGTATACTTTCATAAAGGCATTGCAGATGACTGTGACTTTGTCCACTTTCCAGATTTTGTCCTTTGAGGATTTGCAGAGAGGTTGGTGCTGACTAAAGATGATGGAGTATTTTAATATACCACTAATTTAATTTGTGAGTTTTTACCAACTTGTATCCGTTTTCTTTCTTACCATTTCCAGCCTGTATGCTCCTGGAGGACAGCACCGTTGGTCGACAGGTGTGGCGAGAGTCGTACGTGTCTATGCTGAATAAAGTGTCTGAGTTGTTCCCTGTTGTACTGCGACAAGAATCCCTGAGAGATGGACCAGTGTGTTACATCACCGTCAAGGTACACAAAGAGCTGTGTTCATCATGAACCTGTGAGTCCATTGCAGTCATCATAAAGTTATTGTACGATCTTTGTTACTGACTTGAGAACTGGAATCTCTGCAGGTGTGTTTGCAAATGTTTCAGCTGCTGTCCAGTGAAGTGGCTCCTCTAGTGTGGGAAAAGGACCACAGAGGCCCGACAGTGCAGAAGATCCTGCAGGCTCTTATGGACATTATACTTGGACAGGTTGGTACAGAGTCGTTCAGTCAAAAAATCGATATCTGTTGTTGTATGTGTTTAATCTTATGAGCCAGCGTGTGCTTTCTTGCAGTGCTGCAACAGGGACACTCGTCTTCTGGCAGGAACTGCTGTGGCCATGCTGATCAACACGGCACCAGAGAGCAGAGCTGGAGGAGCTGCTGCCTGGAGTCTGCTGCAAGTCTCTCACTCGGGTATGGAACCACCACCATGACTGTAGAAACAGCCCGAGGGTTGTTCCATCTCAGGTCATCGGGGGTGTTCTGCTCGACCGTCTCTGATTTGATTGAAACTTCTTAATCGTGATCTATGGATATTTAAAATAGTTTGCCCTCCAACCCACCTTCAGCATGTTTCGAGGTTGTGGTTGAACAGCGATATCTCAAAAGCCTGAAAAATGATCTCAGAAATATTTTATATACCAACTTAAATCTTTATAAATATTCACATTTTACTCTTTGAAAAATGTAAGCAAGTCAGAGATGGTCAGGCAGAACTTGTTCTAAACATTTGATGACTTGAGATGAAATGACCCATAAGCACATAAATAAACTTCATCTTTGTTGCACCATTTCCAAAAAACTCACAAATCCTCTGTATATACTACAAATTCTACAGCTGAGTGTGAATGCCTGGAGATTCCTGACAGAAGAGTGGTTTTTCCTGTTATTTCTCAGAGCCCTGGCTGCTGACCGTCGGTGCCCTCCAGGTCCGGTGTGACTCCACGGTGACGGACGGAGTGGACCGGCTGGCTGTGAGCAGAGGCCTCCTGACCTGCTGTCGACCTCACATCCTGCTCAGTTCACAAGAGGACGCCACAGAAGTAAATCCCTCTGAAGTTCACGTCAAAACACATTCTGCTTTTATTGCACGTTTTCATCACCAAATACGACTTTTCTTTCTCCCCCAAAGTGTTTACTGCTCAACGGTTTGTTTCCTCTGGTCTATGCTTTGTGTGAGGAGAAGCTGGATTGTCAGTACTTTGCCTTCGAAGGTGAGTATCATACAAGTAGTTTGTTCACGTGTTTGAACTGAAAAAAATCACCTGTTCAAATATGGCATGTTGTTGCAGCGTTGACACTGTGGCTGAAGAAAGTGAAAGAATGTTTGGTTGATCTCTGGAAGATGACCGGTGTTCAGCTTCTGCCCGACAGCAGCAGCCTGCAGCAGCAGCTCATTCACATCATCTGGACCAACGCAGAAAGCCCAGTGAGCCACGATATCATCATTATAATATTCCAGTTCAAAATACAGTTGGGACTCAATAATCTGACCCTTAACAATCTGAAAACCTTGTAATATTGAATTTCCAAAGTACCCAGACACTGAGCTACTAAAGCTTTCTCAGGCAGCCGTGTGTCATGTTTGCATCAGTTCCAGGATGAAAGTGCATGCAGGTGACTCAGAGGTGATTAAGAGTTGAGAGCTCCCATTCAGATTGAGTCAGTCATGTAAAGAGGTGAAGGAGCTAAAAATAGGGCCAAAAAAAAGCAGGAGTTTAGGAGGACTAAGGAGTATTAAATACAGGGATTCTGATGTATTTGTCAATTACTTTTGAGCTCTGAAATGCTGGGCGCCATCTATTAAAAGGGCTCTCAGACACTAATGTAAACCTCCTGAGCTTTGCACTTTAATTCAGTTTTGCTTTGTTGCTTATTTTATTTCATGTAGAATGTGGTGAAGCATAGAGCCTGGAAAAAGAACACATTTCTAAGTGTCCCAGTAATAAAGTATATTCAATACATCTACAGTCATACTCTGAAAGCCTCAACAAGCCATGCCACATATAATTAATAATGGGCTTCATGTTAGCTGTATATACTGTATAGTACTGCCAGGGTGTCTCATCTGTCTTGCTGTGCGTTGGCAGGTGGAAGGAGTGTCAGAATTTGCGCGCAGTGCCTTCGTTCTGCTGCTGGACCTCTATGAGAAGGACTGTGAGCACTTTTGTGATACAAAGAAGACTTTTTATTTTACTTTGCTTCAGCGAATCATGAAACTACCCTGGGAAGCCAAAGCCAAATATCATCGCCTTTGTGCCCTGCTGCCATATCTGGGTACTGACATGGTGAGGGCTTATTACAGTGTAATAATGTTATAACATAGTCGTTACTGGCCATGATGATCTTGATGCATGTTTCTTTCAATCAGGTGCTGGATCAGTATACAGAGATTCCCAATCATCTCCTGAAGTGCTTGTCGACCAATCACCTGTCCCCATGTGGGTCAGAGCTTTACAGATGTCTGATCCAGCAGCAGAGGCGAGAGCTCTGCGATGGCTCACCAAAGTCTGCTTCTAACACTGAGCAGGATCTGGCCGGTCACTGGGCGAGGCGCTGGCAGCCCGTCCTTCACGACGCTCTGACGTCTGACGTGACTCTTCTGCAGAACAGCAGTTCAACACACTTGCTACCCTGCACCTTTCAGGTTTTCCCGTCTGCCGTAGACCCTCTGCTGGCCTCTCTGGACCCATACGCCCCCGGACATCTCCACGCCTGGGCCTGCATCTTGAGCTCTTACCGAGCCGTGACCGGCGGCTCCCCCTGGACTCTTCAGGGTAGTTCCACCTTTGAAACCCTCCGTCTAGCTCTGGGATCTGCTGATGACAAAGTCCGCCTCGCTGCTCTCAATCTGCTCTGCTGCTGCCCAAAGACCAAAGACTCTCCAACCACGGAGGAGATGACAATAATGAGGACGTTTATTCCTCAGAACCTGAACTGTGAGTCTTCGCCTTTTCGTCAGCATTTTCAGGCCGGAGTGAAGAGGTTTCTGGTTCGGATCAGGGATGGCTGCTTGGCACATGTCCGAGGACAAAAGGGCAAAAAGAAAGGAGGTGCCACAAACTCAGAGAGGGAGCACGATGCGTTGGAGCAGGGAATAGGTGAGAAAACTGCTGGTTTTATGTTCCCAACAAGCATTTATCACATTTGTGGTTTCTTTAAAAGTTTGAAGTCTGCTCTGGTTGTTTAAACTGAAGGTACACATCTCTATATCCCTAACTAATACTTTGTTGCTGGTGTCTGGTGCAGCAGAATGTTGAAAGTTTTAAATCTGTAGATGTAAAGTGACTAATAGTTAAATCAATATTACGTACACCACAACAGCAACACACACTTCTAGAACAATGCAATCAGCGATCCCAAATAGAAACTGACAGATAACAGACAAGATTACTTGGCATCCAGCTCAATATTGTCTGCCTTTGTAGCATTGCATGTAGTTTAAAACCTCCCATTCTTTCACTTATTCCCCAGTCAGCAAACCTTTTTTTTTGTCGTATAGGGTTTGTGGAATGGTTGAGTCAACTCCCCTACAGCTATCTGGCACCAGGACACAGTTATCAGAGAAAGAAGACTGCGTTGCTGCTGCTGTCTGCAGTGCTGGAGACCTGCACAGACACCTGGAGCCCTGACAAGAAGAAAGGACAACCTCCAGGTCAGCTTAGAAATCCAGTGATTGAAAATTGTGTGCGAAAAAAACCCTCCTCCAAAACCAACAAGACAAGTTTATACCGTCTGTTTTTGCTTCTATTGCATAATTCATGCCTAGTGCTAACATTTGTTTTACGTTTTAAATATTACTTTGGCTTTTAATGAGGCTCATGAAATCATTTTTTGCAGCAAATATGGGGTGTCTTATTAACTGTGCCAGACAACGAGGATGCTGGGATTTCTTCTGCAGGACAAAGCAGCTGGTCCTTATCAGCTGTTTAGAAGATTCTACCAATGAGGTAGAGCCGTCTCACATTTCTTTAAATATAAGTCAAATGGACTGAGCTAAAGTCAACCAAAAACAAAACATGGAGAATATTCTGAAGTTTAAAAAGTGTAATGAACAAAATGAAATGCAAATTGGGTATAGAAATCTAATTTATGTTGGGTTTTATGAAGAAGAAAATGAAAACCAGGTGGTACGTTTTTGTCTCCCCCTTTCACTTTATTATTAAAGCTAAAGGATTTTTTTCTTCTTCAGATTCGGGAGCTCTCAGCCGGGTTATTGTTGAGATTTTTCCCGCCCAGTTTTCCAGATGATATCGCCGAAGTGCTGCACACGAGAACCAAACAGCTTCTGTGCAGCCCGCGGGTGCAGGAGGCTCAGATGGGAGCACTGATGATGAAGGTCCTGCTGCAGAAGTAAGCTCTGCCCCCCCTCCATGCTTTCATTTAGAGCTATGCTTGCTTTAGATGGGACAGATAAGCAGCTGTTGTTTCTGTAGATCACAGAACTTTGAGGCCTCCAGGCTGAAAAGCAGCAGCAAGGAGTGTATGGTCAGAGTTCTGGTGAAGGAGCTACAGGAGCACTACGTGACAGCGAAGACGGACATGATGCTCGCTGCCAGAACGAAGCCGATACACGGTGAGACTTAAATTCCTTTATCATAAATTATGTGGAGCCCAAGAAGACGTTTTTCAGTTCATTGACTTCTGTAATTGCAGGTGTCCTAAGTGCCCTTCAGAGGTGTTTGCTCGAGGCACCAGAAAGCATCTACGAGCTACTTGACCACAGTCTGACCCCTGAGCTGCTGAGTCTGCTGGAGGACATCTCTCTGCTGCTGCTCGGTGTTCTGTACGGAGATCAGGACGCTTGTGCCACCGAAAAGGGTAATGGAGCAATCTGCAGAAACGACACTTAGATTCTGTTTTTGACGACACATTCAGTAAATTGCTCTCTCACTGTCTTAGACGCCCCGCCGTCTTTTTGCGATATGGGAAACGCCATCAGCTCTCTGATAGCCCAGGCATCTTCAGGCGGCCAAGCGGATGGAGAGGAGTGTGTCCTGCTGTCTGAAGAGCACAGCCTCGTTCTCACCTGCTGCTGGGTCTCCCTCAAGGTTAAAACAGAACCAGATGCACCATCCAGATACTTAATTTGATCTCTGTGTGTGTGTTTTTCCTCAATATTCCTTCTGTCATGTTTTCTTCTTAGGAGATAGGAAGTTTTTTAGGTTCACTGGTGGAGAAAATTCTCACAGAAACCAAAGAACCCAGCAAGTCCCTTCTAACAAAACAGGATCTGATGAGAGCATCAAAAGTGTTCAAGAATATTCTTCTCAAATGCCGCCACTGGGTAAGTTTTACAAATCAATTAAGAGGCGTTAAATTTGAATCTCCTCAAGTCTCGTGTTCCTCTCTGAAAGACACACGTTTCCTCACCAGGGGGCAGTAGAAGGATGCTGTATAGGCTTCACAAAGTTCTGTGCTTGTCTACTGAGCAGCAATGATCCAGAGCTTAGAGACATCCCAGCCCAGATGCTGAAACAAGTGAGTAGTGGTATGTGTTTTTTTTTTTTTTTTAATAATAAAAGGAGAGTCTGGACTGTACGCTAGTAGATTTTTTTCCCCTCTCTTATTTCTTTACAGGGATTGCAGGTTGTTCAGTGCCTTCGCTCCACATCTGTGACCCGGCGGGCTGCAGGGTTGCCGATGTTGATCCTCTGTGTGGTGTCGGCAGAGGAGGCCAGTAAAGCGCGACCGCTGTTAGCCCACAGTATGCAAACCTTACTGGAAACGGCCAAAACCCCTCTGAATGAGCACTGGGACCAAACACTGGACCTGCCTCAGGTGTGTGGACACAACGAGAGAGTGAGGATGTTGGTCCTTGTTACCATAGATTTGATCACAGTGGGGTTCTTCTCTTTACAGGTGTGTGCGGTTCACACTCTGCAGGCTCTGGTGCGTGGTGCAGGTTTGGGAGTAGCTGTCCTTCAGTTTGCGCCTGCTGTCGCTATATTGTCGCTCACTCTGCTCAGCTCTCCGTGCTGGGCCATGAGGAATGCCGCTCTGCAGCTTTACAGTAAGACAAAGGCACATTTATAGCTGTGCTTTGTAATGTGAAGAGTTGCATCAGGGCTCGGCCACGTCCGTTAACGTGCCCATTGTTGTCTCAGTTGTTTGTTCAGTTGTTTAGTCTATGAAATGCCAGAAAATAATACAACTGCAAATTCCCAAACTCAGATTTACTTATTCCAATTGCAATATGAAACTATTATGTGTTGCTTTATTTGTATAGAAGACAACACAATCTGAATAACACCACTATTTAAAAAACAGTGATTTTGGGGCTTTTTCTGCTTAAAACCAAATCAAAATCATATATTTTTTTTTGTCTTTGACTTATCATTGAATCAGCTGTACTGCTCAGTTCCTTTTATTACTTCAGTCACTACAGTATTCAAAACTTGTTTCCAGGTTCTCTGTGCTCGCGGATGCTCGGCCAGAGGTCCAGCAGTGAGGAGACTGGTCCCACCCAGCACAGCATGTCCCCTCCTGCCTTCTTTTTCCACTATCCTGCGCTCCAGCCCTTCCTCCTGGGCGAGCTCAGAGCAGCGGCACAAGTCCTCCACGGTCCACCTAATGAGGCCAAGCTGCACCTCCAGCCCTCGCTCTACCCCATCCTCACTCTGCTGGCTCAGCTCCAGCCTGGTGTCCAAGATTCAACAGAGTACTGTTCACTTATCACCCCACAGTTTGATTAGCATTCAAATGAACTGATTATCTGTCCCTAACGGTGCGATTGACTGCTGGTTTAGGGAATAGTTTGACATTTCAGGAAAAGTGCGCATTCGATTTCTTGCTAAAAGTTAGACAAGAAGATCGATATCACTCTCACTGCTCTGCAGTAAATGTGCATCTTGAGTCAGCTGCCAGCTTGTTTGGCGAAATGCTGGAAGCAGGAGGAAACAGCCAGCCTGGCTCCTACCTAAGTTATATTATCATCTAACACTTTGCAGTTGTTCCTGGCTGACAAGTGGTCTGCAGCATAACTCCCAGATTATCATTTTTGCACCATTTTGTGCAGCTGGAACATGATAATGAGCGAGAAGAAGGATTTGTAGACAGTGCTAGCTGTACCCCTCTGTTTCTCACTCAGTAAAGCTATGTGGCTGCTGCTGGTGGCTTCATGTTGCCGTATCGCCCTGCAAGAATGCAAATATGCATCTTTGCCAAAATGTTGCACTATTCCTTTAATAGTTCTGCATGTTTACAGTATCTATACAAAACAGTTAAAGAGGACAAAGTTCTGTACCAATATGAATCTCCATACTGAATTTTGTTTGACCCAGTGATTGTCCTCTGGTTTTTCCTCTGCCAGAACTTTGTCAGACTTCCTGCCTCCTTTGCTCCAGCTGTCCGCCAGTCCTATTTACAGTGTGAGAGTGATGGCCTCCAAGGCTCTGGTTGCCATGACTCCCCCCTCGGAGTACATGAACATCCTCATCAAACTCACAGCTCAACTTCCCAGTGCACAGGAGTGCTGCTGTCACAACCGGCTCCATGGCCAGCTGCTGCAGATCAAAGCTATTCTGGAAAGAGCTCTGTGTGCAGGCAGGTGAGACTTAAAAGAGCTGCTTATTCATTCATCGCACATGGAGGCTTTTTAAAGCTCCCGGTTTATTCATTCAGCAGACACTGTCAGCCTTTGAAATCCTGCTGTGTTTTTATTCGCAGGGCCCCTTCAGACGACCTGTGCGAGGTGCTGGTCAGGGTGCGAGCATCGCTGTGGCTGGCGACTGAAGCTCAACGCTGCCCCCTAGTGAGGGCAGTGTACCTCGGGGTGGCAGACTGTCTGAGAAGCCTGTGCTGTGAGACCTACCTGTCGAAGCTCAGTGACACGCTCATGCATGATCTCCAAACTCCTCAGCAGGGTCTTCAGGTGTGGGACTTGCTGACACAAACATTTTATAGGGGGACGTTGTGGTCTTTTATTAACTGTATCGACAGGAAACACTGGGAGAGCGTTGACCTGCAATCTCAAACCAGTGATGTTCTATTTACATGGAATGTGAGGGCTTTGAAAACATATATTCTTTATTTTTATTGCAAGCAATGAGTTCTTACACAAACACAACATTTTCTGCGCTGAATATAGTTAACGGCCAACTGTTTGTGGTTAAATCAGTGGTGCTATGTATTTAGCAACAGTAGCTATACTGTGACTTTTTTACATTTCTGCTTCAAATGACATTAAATATGACGGATCCTTTACCAGCACACCACTGGAGCTCAGGAATACAGTAGTTTCAGTGCAACACTTTACCAAGACAATCATATCAGTTCATGTCGACAGAATCTTAAAGTCCTTCTCTGGTCATCCATTCAAAATTTAGAAGTTTTATTTCTGTAAAAATACTCCCTTTGTGCCTGAAAATGGCTTAGATTTAACTCTGCACTGTTGTTTTCCCAAGAATGTATGAATATATGAAGTTCCTTCCTTTCTCTTCACTCAACTCACCTTCTTGTTGCAGCTCGAGCACACCAGCTCACCCACAACTAAAAACTGTAAAACTACTCTTCACTTTGCATTGGCAAGTTATAGTATCCGAGTATGAAAGTTAAAACCAGAAAATGATTCTGAAGAAGGATAATGATGCAGAAAGTCCCACCTTGCACGTTGACAGGATGGTTCCTTATGATAGTTTGTTACATCTGAAACCCCAGAAGCCTGAACCCATGTTTTTGAGACTCTGTACACTGCAGGAAAATGCTCAACTGGGACATTGACTGCTTTTTTTAAATTCCCGATGTGTTTTTAAAAAGCACCGTATGGACATGTTAACATGATTTTAAAAAGACAAGGATTTTCACTGGAGCAGGTCTTTAATAACCACTGATTGTGAAAGCACCCGCTGGTTGTAATAACACAGTGTAAATAGATTTAAGGTTAAATGACTTCATGCACCAACTCCACTAGTTATCTATCTAACTGCAGTGTGCACAGTTGAGGGAGCTCTGACTCACCGCTGCAGTTACAATCAGTGTTGGTCTAATGCATAATGTATAATACTGTAACATAATACAGCTCAGCCTTTCTCTGTGGATCAGAAGGAATGCAAAATGTGTTGTTAGGTAATGCAAAACACGAGGGAACGCGCAAATAGTTCTGTATAAAACTGTTATTTATTTGTTGTGAAAGTAGTGCTTTCATGTAGGACCCAACTAAAAAGGTTGCTCAAGTTTTCAGGGGCTTTTAATCGCAAGTCTACCAAGACGCCAACATTTTTGTCCTAATGCTTTATGTGTGTCATCTCTGCAGGTTGGGCTGTCGTCCTTCCATCAACAAGCCATCCACTTCCTGTGTGCAGATCTAAAGTGTGCATGTAAAATCTGGGACACCTTCTCTGCAGCGAGTCTCGACCTGAGGCTCTCATTGGTTACGTGGGTGCTGGATGGGCGGGGTTCGCTGCAGGCTGGCTTGAAAGGAGCGATCCAGAGGGTGTTGCAGGTAAGACGTGGTCCGCTCTCTAGACTTCAGCGTAAACAAACTTTTCCAAAAACCAGTCCAGCAGCTTCGATTGTAATGACCTCCTTTACAGCACAATGTGAGGAAATGTTGAGGTAAGGACAGGCCTCAATATAAAGCCACGTGAGTCAGAAATCTGGCTGGAGATCTTTATTCCCCTGTTAAAGGGTGTGTTTGTAAGTTATTATATTCTGAAACTGCAGAGACTTAAGCACAGACATGCTGAGGATATCTGTGCTTTTCATTACTAGCTGTGTTAAAGGTCGTGCAGGTCATGTAGATAAACTCTTCTCTGCAGGATATTAGATTATCTCCAGACCACCCAGCTGTAGCTTCCCACTGATACGCTGCTTAGTGTTTAACTTGAAAATATGTAACACTGCTTATCTACAGACAGTAGCTCTATCGAGACGACTGTTTATGTGTTTATTAAACAGAATGTCTTCACCCTTATTAAACAGAATTAAATGACCTCTTTTCATAAATCTGATTTAGTTTTACTTTAATACTTGTAAAATGAGGTAAATGTTCCTGGAAAGCTTTAGTGCAATACATTGACACTACACTCTTTAAATTGGTAACTGGATCAATTAAACTTGGAGAACAGGATCTGAACAATCCTCTTTAATTATTAGAGGAGCTTATCATTTGACTGGTAGATCAGAGGACTGTGCTAATGCTCTGTCTGTCTCCAGTCAAACTTGAGAGAAGCACTGTTGATTGACAACGTGGAGTACCGCCGGACCTACCTCGCAGCCCTGATAGCAGTGACAGCCGGCGGTGATTCTGCTTTACCCCAACATCTGCTGCATTCAGCCCCACCGGAGGAGCCAGTTCTGCCTGAGTGTCTGGATCTGTTGCTCAGGGACCTGGAGGCCCAGAGAGGCGGGCCAGAGTTTCTGTCCCAGGCCCTACATGCTGCTAGTCTGCTGCTTTCCCAGTGGACACACTCCAGGTTTTTACACGCTTTATTGTCTGTTTTTTTTTTTTTTTTAACTTCATTATAAAGTCTCATTTTGGAACACTTCTCCCTGCAGCTCTGAGTTTCTCTTTTCATCTTTTGCCAATCAGTCTAAAGATATCCGTGTTGCAGCGCTGGTGCAGCGTCTTGGAGTACCAGCGGGTCCCAGACGCCCCTGAAGCGCTCAGGATGGCGTGTGCTGAAGCTCTGTGTGTAGCTGGAGCTCCGCTAATGAACCGCAGCACTCTGCCTGCCATCACCATCAGGTATGAAGGATGTTAAATGAGATTTTCTGTCATCTGATACACTTTGATGAACATGAGGTGAAAGGTTGAATCTCTCTTGTTTAGGCTCATCAACACAGGCCTCTACTTGCTGCAGGACCAAAGCCAGCAGGTGAGGATGAAAGCGGCCTGTTTTACCTCGATGCTGCATCATGCAAGAGGAGGAGAAAGGACGAAGAGCATCTACCTCATGCAGGTCAACCAGGCTCTGCCGATCCTCCTGGACCTGCTGCTGGAGGACTGCTGGGACACTCCTGGTACACTGGAGGTGCTGCTGGTTCACCTGCCTCAGTCCGACCTCACATCTGTGCTGAGAGAGGCCTCAGCGGCGGGGTGTGTTAGCTCACTGAATCAATGCACTTGTACAGTCTGTAAAACCTTAACTGAGCACGTGTCTGTGGAGATTCTCAGTCATCCAGGTCATGGTTATTGTCGTAGTTTAATCGTAGCAACTGGACTTGCTTGAGTTCCTTGAAGACGTTTCACCTCCCATCCAAGAGGCTTCATTAGTTCAAAGCCAGATGTTCTTGATGCAGACAAACATTAAGGTTTATGGTGTTTTAAGTGAAACTCTGTCATTGCTTCTGGTATTAATACATTAATCCATCTCACTAATGTCACTAAAAGCTAACAGCTTGAGTCTAGCAATTATGACTGCACTCCTACGGTAAATATTCAAGACAGGCACATTAACTCAAAGGTAAGATGAGCTAACAATTAATAATGAAGTAACTCTGGGCAAAAACAAATTGTAGCAGTAAAGTTCTGAGAACTGATGAAGCCTCTTGGATGAAAGGTGAAACATCTTCAAGGAACTCAAGCAAGTCCAGTTGCTACGATTAATCTACAAGCTTGACTGAGCAGTGTCTGACTGTCCCTGTCGCTCTTTTGTTTAGCTGCTCCAGTCTGTATGAGCAGGATGAGGCCAATGTGTTTGCAGAGCCCTCTGTGATGTCGGCACATGTGCTGCCGTACCTGCTGCACATGGCTGAAAAATACTCTGAGTCGTCTGCTCTGGCACAGAGCCTGAACTCATGGGCAGAAGAGAGTGCTGGACAGGTGCTAGATGGTCTCGCTGTCTGCAAGAAGCTCCTGCCAGGTACCAAATTAACATGTCAGTCTGAATTTAAGAATGTGTCTGTTGAATCCATATATGAATGATGAGTGTGGTATATTGTAAATTTTCTGTGTCTTTATTCTTTCTCTAGCTGAGACATTGACCCCCACTTGGCTGGCTCTCCTCATGGACCCCCGTTTCCACAGCACCCTGTGTGGCCTGTTCACCAGAGCTGCCTTTCTCCTCCGGCTGCTGAAAACATCTGATAACACACGACACCTCTGTGATCCTTTATCCATGCACATGAGTTTCCAGGAGGTTTGCCGTCTGCTCGCTCAGAACGGTGTCCACTTTCCCTCCGCTGTAGCAGCTGCTGTGGCTGGAGAGCTGCCGCTGTGACGTAACGCAGGAGCTTTTTTATGCACTCAATGGGCAAAGCCTTTTGGCCGGCATGTCCCGGGATGAAATTACCTGTGGGTATTTTAGGGCTGCTTATGACATACACATGTGTAGCCTTATTCTTGAATGAGTGTCACAAGTGCTGATGCTGCAGTGCATCAGCAGTTGGGAGGCTGACTAAGTTACATAAGAGCTCAGTCGCTGCAGTTACTTGTGTCCATCATCACATTTCCTGTGATGAATAAGAGACCGTCTGGGCAGTGGGTGCTGTGTGCACATAAAGAAAACGTAAAACAGCTGCTCCTCATAAGCTGTTTTTGCGAGAATATTTTTAAATACGAGTTTCTGACATGAAATTTTCTGACTCTTTATTCGTTTTTAGAATAAAAGTTTTTATTACAGAGCTACAGGAACATTTGTTGTGTTGATCACCTTCAGCTCAAGCATCGTGCTTTTGTCCTCTGTTGTTCTAGGCTGTGTACTTGTCATGTCTCAGCAACAAGACTCAGACTGATGCACTGATGTAATGCTACAGCATCCAGAGATAAAGATCAGCCCGGTACGATGTGTAGCCTCTAATAGCATTCAGGCAAAATGCAGGTTTTGGCTTTTGGTGTATTTTAGTGAGCTCATACAGTGCTACAGAATTATAGTATTTTAAATATATTTTAAGAATCCAGTAGCAGTTTCTCCCAATCGTTACAAAGTCCTGAATAAAAATTTTCATTGAAATATTTTCCAGCTATTGTAATTCTAAAAAACACTTGCAATGGGTGCTTAGTACGTATGAGTAAAACTGGACCAAAGCAGCTGCTCCTCGTAAGCTTTCAAGGACTTTTTAACAAAAAAAACCCTTTAAATACGACTTTATAACATGACGTATTTGTTTCTAGAAGAAGTTTTTAAAGCAGAGCTACAGTGAGGTCCATGTTTGTGGTTACATCACCTCAAGCTCTGAGTTGTGTACTTGTTTCAGCACCGATCCTCAGACCGATGCATCGATGTAATGCTACAGCATCTGGAGAAATAGACTGCTCGGCACCCAGCTGGGGAATACAGTGTATGGTTTAATGTTCCATTAGAGGCCTTCTGCTCGGATAAGTGTCCATTTTCCAACCACATGAGGGCAGACGATGATTGACTGGATGTGATGGAGAGCTGGCGGTTGCCCCGCAACCGACCACACACTGGAGCAGTCTTACATCATCAGATAGTCCACTGCTTTTGTTTGACATGGGGTGGCTCTCAGTATCAGACAAACACTAACACGAAAGAGTTTGTACATGCTATAACTGGCCATGTTCGACCATCTATTACATGTTTATGGATGCGTATTTGTCTAAGAATCTAAGCAGGCAGTTAATCAGCATCTGACTGTAATGTAGCTCCGTACGTACCTGCATTGCGTATGCATGAAGAGCATCTAGATTAGGCAGCAGCAATTACAATAAGCTTGTATTAATGATTCATACATAAACCTTATGTAATGTGTTTCCTATGACCCACGCCCAAATCCACACCTGCTGTGTGGAGCTCTATGAGATTAACATGTAGGTGCTTCTGTTTGGGAACATGACGCAAAACCAGGTAATGCTAAATAAAAAATTGGAAAAACTTTGAACTATTATATCAAGATTTCTTTCAAAATTGGGATTACGTCACACTTGATGACACAGTGTGCTTTTTTTAAATGAAAACTTTCTGCTGCTCACTGAAGGATCATAACATTCAGTTTCTTAGATTCATAAGTGGTTTAAGACAAAGCTCCATTGCACAGACTCATATGAACTTTTCTTTAAGACAATGCTGACAACACATGTTGCTTGAGCTTTCCAGCATCCCTAAAGACAAAGGCGCGCTTTTAATGAAAAGACAAACTCATTGTAGTTTTCATTCTTGCTTGAACAACATGTGCAATATTGTGTCTTTTGCCGCAACCTTGAAAACAAAGTCTTAAGAAGTGAGTCTGAAGTGTAGCAGGGTTGTAAACCTCCTGGAGGCAGAGTGTGTATAATGGAGAGTGACCATCTGGCTTAATAAAAGCCTTCCCAATCGTTACTGCGAGTCTCTGGGCTCTCAGTAAGCCTGCGTCCTGCTAATTAAATGATTAACTATGGCAACAGGGAACAAGGCCAACTAGGTACAACCACTTTGATGGGGTGGGTGTATGTGTGGACATAAATACAGACGTATGTGCACCACTTGGAGCATGAAAGGAGTGTTTTTCCACTGTTGTGTTACAAGCAGCCAGAGGATCCTCGCTCTTAAGGGAAAAGAACGGCAAGGCTCAAGTGTTCTTTTCATTCTACAAATGGAACAATATGAGTTCATGTCAGTGTGACTGTGCACTTTGATTTTTAAAATGAACTGTTTGTCCTGATTATAATAAAGGTTTCTAATGAGGTTGTTATTCTACAAACATGTTTGTCTTTGATTTGATCACTGCTACTTAGTTTTATTTCCCAGAACTGTTGCAAAAAATGTGCTGCAAATAGAAAAACTGCTGCACGAGTCTCCCTGCAAGCATCATTTACTTAAAACAGTAGACTGTATACAATGTGGACCCTATAATTACATAGTAAAGGGAGGATTTGGCTTTTGCTGTATGGTATTATTATGTTATTTTGGTACACTAATAAGAATTACAGTTTTTTTTAAAAATATACTAGTGTAACAGTCCTCCAGTAGCGGTGTCTCCCACTCCTGAGAAAAAATCTCAAATTATTATTGAAATGATTTCCTAGTTATAGAAGCTGATTTCTAAAAGAAAACAGTATATTTTTGGAGACATAATTATAAGATATTTAAATATGTAATATATGCAATTCAACCAGTAGTGGAGGATTGATTATTTACTTCAGTAAATGCACCAACACTCACATAAAACACAATGTTATCAGTAAAAGTCCTGCATTTAACATCCAAGAAAAATAAAAGTACCAAAGTTTAAGCATCAAAAAACACTAAAGTTCTTATTATACAGAAGTGTCCATTTCAGGATAACATCACTGGATCATAATTAGTGATTCATTAATGCATACATCACATTAATGTCGCTGCTGGAGCTAATTTTAATTATTTACTGCTAAATAATTTATTGTTCTATTTATGTTTGACATTAACAATGAATGTGCAAAATAACTAGTAACTCAAGTTTTTAAATTAAATGTACTGAAATACAAAATACAGTATTTGTCTCCACAGTAGACAAATAAAATAACACAGGGGAAAAAAAACTGCTGTTTTATTCTGCCACTGGCCACCAACACTGTTCCTTTTGAATGGGATGAAATGAGCAGAGAGTGATGGAGTGTACCAGACAGATGTTGTGTGTTTGCTCTAGTGATTGCCCGAAAACTGAGTAAGCATTTATTTGAAAAGTGGCTTAGTGAACATTGACTGAGTCACGCTGTGGCTGCCCTCTTTGCCATCCGGCCAACAATGACACAGGGCCCCTCTGTGCCGGCGCTCAGGCTGATAGAGGCAAACACTGCTGGCAGCTGTCTGAGCCCACTCCAGACCAAAGGCAGCGGATAAACAGGCCTCACGGGGAGCAGAGGAAGCCTGGGAAACAGGAAGATTGGGTTTGGACAGATGCACCAAAGCACTAAGAGCCAGATAAGACTCCACAGTTGGACGGAGGAGGAAGGGAGGGATTATAAATGGAAAGTAATGACTCAGTGTGTTTTCAAATGAAAATGGAAAGCAGAGCAGCTATTTATAGACGACCACAGAACATGGAATAAGCCTGCAAATTGGTCTTGGAGTGGAAAAAGGAAAAAAGTTTGGGGGGGATGGATTATAGGAATAATCATAAACATCCTTTTTTTTTCATTTCAGCTTAAACAAAAAAAAAAAAACAGTGAATGAAAAAATCCTTGACTTTTCATGCTGGTGCTGATGATGTGTTTCTTCTCTCAAGGCTGCATGCCATGATAAAGTGCCAGATTATTTCTCAGCTGATGTACTCTCCTCTATGCGTGGGTGTGTGTGTGTGTGTGTGTGAAGCTGGTGAGGCTTTAGGACCTTGAGGCTTGTACTGCAAAGCACAGCTCCTCCTCCTCTTCCTCCTCCTCCTCCTCCTCCTCCTCCACTGAAGGCTGTTTACGAAGAAAGCTCAGCTCCTCTGACAAAAACAAGGGCTGGGACTCCAACGAGAGGAGCAGTGTGTCTGATGCACATTCAGCACAGGCTCTTCCTCCGTTTTAGACATTTTCTATATATTTGTATTCATTAGATTTTACAGAAACAAAAAAGGGGAGCACACCATGTTGTCTGTGAATTCAGCCCGTCAGCTCTGCAGGATGTTTTTCTCTCTGCACGTTGTTTTCCTGAGCGTGGCCATTGTGGAGAGCAGTGCATCAAATGGAGATCAAAGAGGTAAAAAAATATATGATGCATTTTTATTCTTGTGTCCAAATTTGTTGTGAGCGTTTATGTCAATGTACACGTGTGGGAATGATGCTTTGCTTTTCCTCCTTTCGATTGCACAAGATGTTTATGTGCAGGACTCACGTGTTGTTGTTTTTTTTGTTGTTGTTGTTCTCAGATTGCATGACATCCAGTGGTGTGGAGTACAGAGGAGAACAACAGAGCTCCTCCTCAGGTCTGATCTGCCTAAACTGGACCAACACAACCAGAGACTATGATGTTAACGTCCATCCTGACTCGCAGACAGGTAAACTCTTTGTGTTTGACATCAGCGAGTGTCCCTTTAAACTGTTTCCTGCTCGAGGAGTGAAGACAGGAAATGGGTTTTAAAATGCCACACATGTTGATGAACACAAACAAGCACCTCTTAACATCTTTACAGTTTAATTAGATGAAGGGTTGTAAGCAACATTTGCTTTAGATATCATGCTTCTGATTTGTCTGCTCATGGTGCTGAATGCCGTCTTTCCAACAGTTTCCTTTTGTGTGTTCTGACGGCAGCCTGTTCATTGTAGTGTGATGAAGTCGTGTTAATGATTAATGAATCCAGCGGTTTGCCCACACAGGGGGACAGAGACACACAGAGACGGGCCTGTATTTCCACAAGGCATCGGTGACAGACGTGTGCTGTTTTTATCGTTCCTCCTGTAGGTGTTGGAGATCACAATTACTGCCGAAACCCAGACTCCTCCGAGAGGCCTTGGTGCTACATTGCTGGCCCAGATGGAACAATCCAGAGACAATTCTGCACAATTGAGACATGCAAAGGTCAGTAAATGTTGTACAAAGCATTAATTATTAACAATTGTTGGCTTTATGTTGGGAATTTGTCAAAAAAAGGGAAAAGAAAACAAGTCAGTCTGGTCTGACAATATTAAATGTGCTTTTTTTCCCCCCACAAATGAATGGCAATACAAAACTGAAATAGCTGCTTTTCTCTTTGGATGCTCTGTGGGATTTGTTCTCTTCTTTCTGCTGCCAATTACCGCCTGTAAAACTCTCATTATTTTTAAACAAGTGGACTGCTTGAGAAAAATAATGAGGTGCTTTTTTTGTAGCTATGCAAATGTTCTAATTAGTCGACACAAAAACGATGCAGCCAAGTTGTAAACTTTTATGGGTCAATAAAAAAAACTCAAAATGAACTTTAAAAAGTTTCCATTGTGGTACATTTACCACAAATAGAGCATGTGTACGGCGTTATTGGAGATGGATTACCAACAATGTACTTTTCCTGGGTAGGAGTTTTAATCTGCAGTAGGTCAGTTGGTCAGAGTTAAGCTACTGGCAGAAGTCTGGTGTACTTTATCCTTTGTTTCTCTTTTACCTTCGGAGCCAACACAAGTAGCACAATAACAAAGCCCTGCACACACATGTCAGAAAGTTCAGCCCGAAGAAAGGCGCTGACCACGCCCCACGGCCCAGCTCATTGGCACTCACAAACCGGCTCTCCTTGGAGACAGCAGCTAATTGGCTGCTCGGTTTATGACTTCATGCCCTTTAACTCGGGCAGAGTTCATAAACAACTTGGGGAAATGGAAAAAACCTACAAGACCAGATGTTGACATCTGCAGCCTTCCTGTCTCTTGACAAGAAGTCGAACAGGAGGAGTGTGTTTATATCTGGTGTTTAAAAAAAAAGGAAGAAGCAGAATCTTATCATCTAAATGATTTACATTCCAACGATTTCACGAGTTCAGTCGCAGAGCTTCGGTCCTGCTGTCAGCGAGGGTTTTGCGTCAGTGTTAATGTCGTTGGACCAGCAGTAATAGGAACCCACACGCTCCAGATGATACACCGTAGTGAAGTCAAAGTGTAGCGTGATGTGATGTAGTAACAAATGAGGGGACTGTTTGTGTGGATGCTTTAAAGAGAGTACTTCCTAATAAGCATGGATCTAATAACGGGATAAAAAGAGATCCAGAACAATATGAAAACCTGTCACTGTGCACTGAACGTAACCTGATATCAATACACTGTCTGCTGTGACAAAGATAATCAATAGTTCTGATGCTGACGGAAACGAATACCTGACGTACACAACCTCTCTGTGTTATTCAGTAAATAGAGGTACCTTCATATGAAAACACAGAAGTCCTCACACAACACAACCAGAATGATCCTGTTCAACCGATGATGTTAAAACAAGAGATCACAAAGAATAAATGATCTCTGACCTGTACTCTGTGTTAAAACTTCATAGTGATGCTTACAGTTGTGGAACAAGTAGGACAGAAGCTTGATGGGTGAATGAGGTGGGCAAAGAAGTGAAAGTGACTGTTCTCAATCAAACAGAGAACACACATTACAAAAAAAATCACTATGATCCACGTCCTAATCCTTAATCTGATTTGGCTGCTAAATCTCTGCTAAAATGTTTATTTCTTCCTGTCTTTGTATCTTCAGAGCAGACCTCGGCTGTGCCAGCAGAGGCCGAGTCCCTCAACCCAGCAGGAACCACTCCCTCCACAGAGAACTTCCAGCCGGCCAGGTCACAAGCTTCTCAGGGAGAAGTTGCTGCTGTGCAGCCAGTGATGGGAATCAGCCAGAGAGTCCGCACAGCACCTAAAAAGAAGAAGGACCTGGGCACTCTGGGTATGTTGTACTGGTTGTGATGTATTGCTGGATGGACTGAACATCTCCGTGATGTGTTTGTGCCTTCAGTTTCTCAGACTTCATGCTCTCCTTCTGGTTTTCAGGCTACGTCCTCGGCATCCTCATGATGGGGATTATAATCGTCCTCGGAGTGGGCATCACGCTGGGCTACTTCTATAAGAGGTCAGTATCTAAATCACAGCAGGATCATCGGCCTTCAGGTCTTTAGAAAGATGTACAAGATTTTGGTTTTGTTTCGTGGATGAACTGCGACACAAGGCCAAAATGTGATGCTGTAGATTTGCATCTTGCTCCAGTATGACTAACTCACATGATAGCAGGTCTAGGGTCTCTGAGCTCAGCCTCTCAGCTGCTCCCCTCTGACGCTGCGTGTTGTTCCATTGGGACGTAACGCAGCCATTTTAACCGCGTTATCACAACAACCACAACAGAACATGGCTGAGAATGAAATGCCTGCAGTCTATTTTGAGCTCTCTTATTTGATGTTCTCTAAAGAGAGCGTGGAGGGTGGGCTGGATGGAGGAGCCTGCCCATTCACTACACTTATGTAATATGCAAAACGATGACTTCAATGCTGTGAAAGAGGGGACTTGGATTCCCTTTGGCGCAGCACAAACATCCTCCCGGGTCTGCGATTGGCTCTAATGTGTGATAAGCTTTGTTTTCTATTATTAGGAGGTGATTAATAATAAGGAGGAGAAGCATATTATGTCAGAGGGTTTGTACTTGCCCTGATTGTGCAGTGACATCAGCCTCAGTAGTGATCATGTGTGACTGTGTCTGCACTGTCCAGGCCAACAGGGGTGTAATGCAGAGGTTCACATTATACCCCCTTTGGGAACAGGCTCTCAGTAGGAGAAAGTAGTTTATTGACCAGCACACTGATCTCTTGCACCCTGAAAACCCCGAGGCTCTGCAGTGGTGTGCAAATGTTTCAGATGTCCCCCCCTCCCCAGAATGCACTGCTTTGTTCTGTCAGTGCAATTCCATGTCTTTGCGAGCAACCTTTAGATGCAGCGGGAAGCTTTCTTTGTTCTCTTTCTTGTCAGTTAGATTAGAAACATCAATGCCAGTCTCGTATCTTTGTGTTAAACGTGTAGCTCTGGAGCCATCAGACAGTTAATTTTTCTCCGCAGTGCCACAGGAAGCAGCTAGCTTTGCCAGGCAACCTCCCTCCAGGAAGCTTCTGGTCCTGGGAAAGAAACATTTTCTGGCGCAGAGCGAAAGGAGTCGGAAAATCCCAGATAATGCTTGAAACCCAAAATCGTCCGCACCCCATCGCGAGGACTCTGCGCAGATATACTGTGTTTTTGAGGCAGAGCAGAGTTGCGCAACTGAGGCAGGCAGGTGGGGAGGTGTTTGGAATCGGGAGTGTATGGGTCTGTTTTGGCTCGGGATCAGTAGAAGGCCGTCTCACGCTGCTTCCCGTCACCGACTAGATAAACTCTTCGCCAGCTTGTCAGTTGCGCGCTCCCTTCGCCATCTGTCTCTTGTCTTTGCCGCAAGCCGGGCACTTGTTACAACAGGCAACGTTATCTCCGTACAGTATGCTATCTGAAGCCCCTTATCGTGAGTGTTTGACTTGGGTGGAACCCAAAAATATGACTCCACATAGTTTCATCCACAAGGCATCTCTATAATAGGTATTTTTCTTCTGATAAGACTTGACACTGACTGGCCTTTTGCATGATGCTTTGATCTTTAGCTGATGGATAATTAAAAACAATAAAATCAATATTGTTTTATTACACTTGGCAGGAGTCAGTAAAACAGCTCCAACTGATAGCTACTGTTGCTTGATAACCGCTTGAGTGTTTGCTCTCATTTGAAAAGGCGATTATAGGTCAGCGTTGGTTGAACAGATTGAACTTTTGAGGTCTAGATTTGTGATGGCATCGTCTGTGTTTTCCCTCCAGGGGTCGTGACATGAAGAAGCAGCACGAGCAGCGGGTGTACGAGCGCGAGATGCAGAGGATCACGCTGCCCCTGTCGGCTTTCTCCAACCCCACCTGCGAGCTGGTGGACGAGAACACGATAGTGATCACGGCCGAGCACGAGACCACCCCGGTCCAGGAGGGCGTGGAGGGCGGAGACCCTCTCATGGGCCAACAAGCCGGCACCCCCGGAGCATGAGTTAGCATGTCAGGACTGAGATACACTTTTTTTTTGTGGACCAAAAAAGAAAGAAAAAAAAAAAAGCACTCCTATCTCCCTGTTTCTCCTTTTCCACCTGTTCTTGAGGCAGTAGGGGAGCAGGGTTGGCTCCAAAGACTTGAACTTGAATGCTGTGTCATTTTGTGCCCCTTTTCCTTTTTTTTTTAAAGAAAAAAATTCAATATGTGAGGCACAAACAAGATAAGCTAGATGGACACAATCTTTAACAACTAAAAAAAACCATGGAGGTGAATTTGTTGTCAATGAAGATATGTCACGAGGTCTTTGAAATTCATATCTGATAGCCATGAGTATACGGTCAGGCTGTCCTTCTAAGTAACAGCACGGATATCAAGTCAAGGCGAGTCAGTGTTTTTAATACTCTGTGAAGAAACCAATTCTTTATGAAGAGATAGTGTTTGGAATGGGGAAATGTTTGTTTTTGACTGGAGGTGTGGTTATACGATACGGCTGGGTGATAAGTTTGAAATTGTGTCGACCCACTGGCTATGCCGATGGAGACAGGTGTATGTACAAAGACTGCTTTGTCCCAGAGAAAGACAAAAATAGTCATCCTGCTCTGAGACGACAGGATGAGAGAGCATGAGGTAAAAAAGAAAAAAAAAAACAGGCCCACTAAAGACAAGGGAAGGCCTCCAGCTCAGAAAAAAAAAACTGCCTTAGCATGATACTTCTGAATGTATTTGTTTATCTTCTTGTGGAATTTTTTTAAAAGTTTTTTTTTCTTCCTCAAGTGACGGGTCAATGCAGTTTAAAAGCATCGACGGAGGTCATTGGCAGACGTGAAAGAAGCCCTTTTCTTCCACAGGTTAAGGAGTGACAGGAACTATACAGAGCGCTCTCAGGACGCGTGAGAGACAGTAGTTAGTCCTCAGGACAAAACAGCACTGCCACAGCACAGAGCAGATGGGATCAGAATAAGAAAAGAAAAAAAAGTCTGTCTTTGCAGTGCAGGACAGTGTGTGTTCAAGTGCTGAAGAAGCCTTAGATTCAGACATTTGAGATGCATTTGATGCTTCAGAGTAGAGAATGGAGCAGATTAGAAACAGTCCAAAGTTTGCTGTTGTTCACATAAAACATCCCCAAAAAAACATGAATGCATGTATAAGGTTACCTGCTGTATGTTTGCCGTTCAGGGGCCACTTTTTTGCATCTTAAAAAGTAGAACTGTTCGTTGAGAAATACATTTAGAAAAAAAAAAGAAACCTGCCTGACGATAGAAATCATACAGAAGACTTTAGTTGGTTGCACATGATGCACCGTTACTTCTCACTGTTTGTTTGTTACCACTGGATCGCTCCAGATGGTCTTGTTTTTGTGTTTATTGCTGGATCCACATCACTGGTCAACTTTGGTTACTGCTGCTCCATTATTTTAAATGTCTGTGTGCTGGCTGTAATTTTTATTTTTTTTCTCTTCATTATAGCAATGTTGTTCAGCGTTTGAATTTAGTACTTGTATTTGTATGGATGCAGATTTTCACTGCTGAGACTGAAATAAAACATCAAACACCAACACGTGATGTAATCTGTATATTTACAATTATGGAGATAAAGGGGATTTGTCTCACTAGAACGCATGAAGGCTTGGACTGTTGTCAAAAGTTTGTTCACGGGAGGAATGTTTTGCTGCAGCTCCCTCTGTTGGCAATTCTTAAATATGTTCATTTGTTTATTGGAGTCACCTGAGAAAGCAGGTTAGGATAATGAGGGAAGGAGAACAAGACTGGATAGAAAACATTTAAACACCTAAAAGCTAAACTGTTCGGGTTTCTGAATGTTATTATTGAGTTGTCACATGCAAATTTCTTTATTTGATGTTCTTTTTTAAAAAATTGTATTTACATCTGGCAAGTGGTCTGTGGACAGGATTCAAACTTAAACATATGCATCTATGTAATAGCACCAAGTGGCCTCGTCGTTTCTTTATCATTTAAAACTGTATATTAGATTAGATTAGATTAGATTAGATTAGATAGAACTTTAGTATATGAGACAGAAATGCTGAAGCTATAGATCTCAGTTGACAATGGGCCTCTATGCCTAGAAACTAACAATGTAAGACTGTAAATGGCACTTAAATATGTTTAATGATGAAATCTGTAAAATGTGAGGTTAAAAAATTGAAATCTTAAATCTGTCCAAATCAGTCTGACCCACAATCGTCATAAAACAAATTAAAAAGCTGCAGTATGTTATGAAACACACATTCTGCAGTTGTGAAGCTATTAAAAGAATGTTCCTATAATTATTCATTTTCATGCACCTTCTAATCATCCATCCATCCATCATCTATACACCATTTAATTCTCACTAGGGTCGTGGGGGGCTGGAGTCTATCCTAGCTGACTTAGGGTGAAGGCAGGGGACACCCTGGACAGGTCACCAGTCTATCACAGGGCTACACTTAGAGACAGACAACCAAGCACACTCACATTCACACCTACAGACAATTTAGAATCACCAATTAACCTCAACATGTTTTTGGACTGTGTGGGAGGAAGCTGGAGAACCCGGAGAGAACCCACGCTGCACAGGGAGAACATGCAAACTACCTACTACCCCACCTACTAATCAATTTTTATTTTTTTAATCAATTCAAATTTGGACTTTAATGAATGCATTCCTTCAGATTTTATTAAATATGGCCATTTCATTGTTTGTTTTTTTACTGGGAAACTGCTACTTGAAGGAAAACAAAAGAAAAAGCTCATTCCTTCCCTGCATTGTCAGTTTTAAGGCGAACACATTTTGTAATATTACTGCCACATTCTAACATAAGAGTCAGTTCTTTGCATCAGTCCTTCTGCCACGTAGAAATAAATAATGACAATAAAAACAGTAACTTTCAGAGGCTTTATTTATGAAACACTACAGTGATATAAATAATAGTGGTTACAACTGGTCGTCAGTACCTTGCATGATGAGAGCAAAAAGGCAAAAACGTCCATCGTTGACGAAATGTCTAAAAATCTACAAATCTAGAGTTCCCATTAGAAAATGAAATCCAATTAGAAGTACAATATGTACATATTTATATACATTGCTTAAGAAAAAAAAAAAGTCCAGTTCTTCTGTACAAAGCTCGTTTTTACGGTCAGCTCTTGTATGATTACGTCTGACAGTTTTAATAGTCAAACATTTCAAAAGAGCTTCTGTCCTGTTTTTTGTATTTGATAGAAAGAAAAAAAATCTAAATGGTTTCACTCATTAAATTCATTAGACTACAAAGTACAGAACATACTCGTCAAGAATGAGAAGAGCGGAGCTTGAGAGAAACAAAATCTAAACACTCCTTCACCATCTTGTGCCAAATCTCAGTGTGATGAAACTATTTGGGGTCAGAGTGTGCTTTTGCTTCCACTGCCGCCTGAAGTCACACCTGTTTTCTTTGCGCCCTGCCCTCTGCTTACTTAGTCATGTCAATCAGCCACACTGTCAAGGATATTTGCTTTGTTTGCTGCTGAAGTGAAGTGGCTCCTGTTTCGGGCAACGACTGATCTGTGCATTCCACACACAGCAAACAACAGCTTCAAAACAAAACGGCCGTCACATGAGGACTCAAAAGTCCTCCACCTTATAAACATGCTCATCCTCTGTCACAGAAAGTTGTTATTTGTCTTTATACATGGTAAACATTAAGTGTGTTGAGCAGGGGGCCTAGTAGGGTAAGAAAAATTAGCAACTAACACTTGTACTTTTGAAATGTGTCTTTCCACTCTCGTTGCAGTTCGCTGGCGCTCACAGAGTTAAGGTCCCACACAGGGACGCTGGTCCAGCTACCTCAGGTTATCCAGTTCTAATATGGCTCGGGTTTAATACAATTTTCCTCTTTTTTCTCATCCACAGTATTAGTGCAGCAGTTCAGAGGCGTCACAAAGTAAATTAGAGACCCAGAAAGACACAGTCTCTAGGTGCCATTGTCCGTCACGCTGGAGCAGTCTGGGGAGGCTGCTGTCGGGGTTAATGACTGATCGGCGCTGCCCTGCGATGGAGAGCTGTCTTTAGGCCAGTGGAGTCGACTCAGACTCTGATGCAGTTCATCCAGTTCTGCTGGCAGGGGGATTCCCAGCTCCTGGTTGAGGGACAGAGCTCCAAACCAGTCCTCAAGCTTCTGGAAAGGTGGACTGAAGGAGGAGGAGAAGGAGGAGGAGAGATCAGCGAGGGCACACAAAATGGTTCGACGTTAAAACCAGACTGACAAGGTTGAGAGAAAACATGAGGAAGCAATCTGGCAGCTGAGGCGTGTTCCTGTGCAGGCAGGTCGAGATGGCATCTGAAAGAAGCTTTTGTTTTCTCACAGACCTGAGTTCAATTACAAGGCTGGACTCTCAGCGTCTCTCAACTCATGGACAGACACGTTTGTTATTTTGGACATTTTAGTGTGAATATGTGCTCCTATGTGCTCACCGGTTATCTGGTGTGAGGTCGCAGCATGCCACAGCCAGGGGAAAGAAAGCTGGTGGACAGTCTTCAGGGAGGAACTTCTCCACAAACTTGCCAACATTTAGGCCAAAGTCCAGAGTCCTCGGGAGGCACTCAGGGTCCGCGTAGACTTTTCCGATGATCTGAACCATAGGAAAGAGGATTTTAAAAATCCATTAATAAAAAGGCAAATCCAGGTGAACAGACCAAGCACAGACATGTTTGAGCTTATTAACTACAACGGTGTTTACTTGTAGAACATTCCAGCAATGTTTTCATGATCTCATAACACAGCTGGGAGAGGGATCTTTTTAAAAGCTATTAACTGTCTTTTTTCCTGAAACCTCATACGTCTAGGATTTAGAAATGAATCTGAAGCAAACAATTGAAGTAAAAATCAGGCTCTTACCTCACAAAGTACAATTCCAAAGGAGAAGATGTCCACCTTCTCATCGTAGCGTTTGCCTGAAACAACATGAAGCAAAGGATAAGTAGCTGCACTCACTGACCCACAGCGTGAGTCACCTTCTGCACGTCAAGGTGGTCATTCTTTTGGTCAGCGGCTCACCGTTTAGCATCTCCGGAGCCATCCAGTAAGGGTTTCCCACGACCGTGTACCGCTTCTTTCGGTCGATACGTCTGAACACCCTCTTCTTAGTGGAGGGTTTTTCAGGTGGAGGTTTAACTTTCTCCTCTACTATGAGTCGGGACAGTCCAAAGTCAGCGACGACTACGGTGTTGTCCTGTGGAAAGATGACAAAAGGTTTCACTTTAAGACAGAATAATCAAGTATTTACGTTAAAATTAAGCTAGCTGAGAATGAAGATTAAATGTTCGATAATATCAAGGAATAATAAACATGGTGTTTGCTTTTGGAGGCTTTATTTCTGCTCATATAGTTCAACACTGTCTTGAGTTTATAGGAATCTTTATATAAAAGTTTTACCAGAAGTCTTGTTTATGTAAACACAACTGGCTGGAGCTGCTTGTATTCACTTGATGAAATATCGCTGCCACCTCACTGTTCACATTTTATAATGTGTAATAGCTGGTAAGATGCCATGTCACCTACCAGTTTAACCAGGCAGTTGTGGGAATTGAGGTCTCTGTGGATGATGCTCATTGAGTGAAGGTAGGCCTAAAAACAAGAGGAAAGTCAGGCGTGGTGAGTCACACATTCAAGTACATTTCTTTTTAAATGGTCAAACTATTCAGGACTATCTACAAGTCTTTTGGATTCAAATCTTATCAAGTCTCTGCAAGACATGATAACTGTTGCACTGTGCCTTTAAATGCATTAAGGAGGTCTACAGCAGTGGTTGCTCAGTGTGTTTATTGTGATCCTATATTACAAAGTCATGTCAGCTTATGAACATCCACAACAGACTGCATATCTATGAGTGGTGAGCAGCTCAATCAAGGAGTGATTTTCCTTTCTCAGATTAACTTTAATGATTATGAATAAAAGCGTTTTGTGCAACAGCACTTGAAACATTTATCAGTAACTACCTCAGCAATCATCTGGCATTTATTAGAGTCATCTCAGGACACTCTGTGTTGGCCTCAGTGCCCATTAAATGTGCACATATAAACACATTTACTCAGCAAAAAATAGCAGCCAAGCTCTTTAATAATAGCAGTGTCTTTGCAAGAGGCCAACTCACCATGCCAGAAGCGATGCTCTTTGCAAAGCTCACCCTTTGCTCCCATGGAAACGGGTCCTGTCAGTTCCAAGTAAAGACAAAAACGACAAATGAAGAAAAGTGCATTTAGAAGCCACAACAGAGGTAAATATAAAGACTCATTTGCACCAACATAGAGGCATTAATAGTAAACTAAATTAAAGCTTCATGAAATAAATTCTCCAAAACAAATTTTAAACATTATTAGAGACAACTTTTCTCATTTTACGTCTCAACCAGTTGACATGGCAGCCTATTACAGAGCTAAGAGCCTTGTATCAGTGCAGAGTTTACTCTAGGTCACCCCTCCTACACAACCCTGAGCTGCAAGCAGCTCTTTCTGTGGTCACTGAAGGGTTTTTGTGCTCTGCAGTGGAAGAGGAGAGGAGTTTGACTCACCGTGTCTCTG